TATAAAATGTAAAACCAAGGACTTTCTTGAAAGTACAGAAGAAAATCTTTGAAACCTTGTGTGTTAGTTTTTTAGGGATTGCATAGCCAAATATCGCAGACTGTGGCTTAAATAAGACAAATTTATTTGTACACAATTCTAGACAATGAAAGCCCAAGATCAGGACAGTTGTTGACCTGTCTGGTTTCTCCCAAGGCCTTTGTTTTTGGCTTGAAGATGGCTGCCTTCTCCCTGTGAATTCACATGGTCTTTTCTCAGTGTGTATGTGTGTGTAGTACATCCCTGGCATCATTCCCTCTCCTTAAAAGGTCATCTGTCATATTCAATTAGGGCAACACCCTAAAATTTAAAAGGTGACAATATAAATTGCTGGATACAATCAAAGCGACAGTAACTCTCATTCATTGCTGCTAAAAATACAAAATGATACTGCCATTTTGAAGATCATTTGGCAGTTTCTTACAAAGTTAAACATAGCCTGACCATATGATGCAGCAATTGTACTCCTAGGTGTTTACCCAACTGATTTGAAGACTTTGTCCACACAAAAACCTACACACAAATGTTTATAGTAGATTTGTTCATAATTGCCAAAAACTAGAAGCGCCCAAGATGTTCTCCAATAGATGAAAGGAAAAACATTGTGGTACATCCAAACAATGGAATACTACTTGATGATAAAAAGAAATGCATTGTGAAGCCACACAAGGATTTGAATGAGCAGTATGAAACTGAAAGACAGCATAGTAAGTAAAATAAGTCAGGCACTGAAAGATTGTCATCTACTGCTTGTCAGCTACCACATGATTTTATTCAGGATCAAAACCTTTAAAAAGGTATAGAAATATAGAGGGAATAATGGTTAGCAGAGGTTAGGAAGTGTAGCATGGAAGGGGATATGAGGGGAGATTGGTTATCAGGCACAAAGTCATAGGAGGAATAAATTTTTGTGTTCAACTCCACAAAAGGGTGATTATTGTTATCAATGTGATATTGCATAATTTAAAATAGGTGATAAGATTTTTTGAATGTTCTCATCACAAAGAAATGATAATAACTGAGACACTGAATAAACTAAGTACCCTGATTCTGTGATTGTACAATCTATAGAAAACATTATACTGTACTCCATAAACATGTACAATTATTACAAATTAATTTTAAATATTTTTTAAATTTTAAAAATATGGATGAATCTAAACTGCACATTAAAAAGTAAAGGAGCTAGTCTTAAAAGTTTACATATTTTATGATTTCAATTATATGCTATTCAGGAGGACACAAAACTATAGTAAAAGTAAACACACCAGTATTTGAGATGGATGAAGAGTGAAGAGGGTTACACAGGTCTAAAACTATTTCTTCTGATATTGTCATAGTGAGCACATTTGCATTTGCCAAAACCCACGCAACTTTAAAGCTCAAAGAACAAACCTAAATATACGTAATTTTTTTGAAAATAATTTAGTAGGGTGGAGGAGCTCAGAGTGAAGTGAAGAATATAACAGTCCAACTGTGTTACATGTGTAGGAAACAATTTCCCTAAGGCAGGTTGAACAAAGATACTGACCTAAATAACTTTGGAAATGACTAGAGCCTATCAGATCAAGATCAAAAGGGCCTCTGCAAAAATGCTGTACTCTAACTTGTAACACTGTTGCCCACAAAGATATAAGGCACTAATTCTGTAACAGGTTTAGATACTTGGACAGCTATGTCACTGAAAAGGATATATGAAATGCAAATAAACACGTGAAATAATATTCAAGATCAGTCCTGGTGAAGGAAACGCACTGTACCACACATGTTACAGTGACTAAAATAAAAGTGACTCCCTGTACCAGAGGTTGCTGCTTGTACAGAACAACTGGAGATCTCAAGTGTTTCTAGTAAAAGTACAAAATTGTACAACCACTCTGATAAATGATTCAGCAGATTTTCATAAAGTTAAAGACTTCTCATATGTCTCAGCTCTCTAACTCTTAAACACTAGAGGAATTAAACATGTTTCAAAAAAAACCCTATATGCAAATATTTACAGTAGTTTTATTTGAATTGGCAAAAAATGAAAACAGCTTACTCACCCTTCAGTGAGTGGTTAAACAAGGTAGTACACCCTTACAATTGGACACCACCCAGCAACAAAAGGAACAAGGATGTTTTATTTGACTTAATTTTAATTAATATACATTTAACTTTGGAACTGAACATTTGATTCCACTTTTGGAAAATATTAAAATATGTTTGGAATTGAAATAGAGAAGGGACCCTCAGGGGGACAGGGTGTGGTGGGGGAATTCTTGGGTTCTAATCCATGACCTGTCACCCACTGCAGGGGAAGATCTGTCTTTTCCCTTGACTTCTCTTGCCAACAAACATGGACTACACCTTTGCCTTAGCTCCCTACCCTTACTACAAGTACCAGGTGGGACTGTAACACAAAGGAGCTGCCAGTATGTCTCCAAGGACAAAAACAGCAGTTGATTCATATTTTACGTTAGAAGATTGTTTAGAACAGCAGAAAGAAGTCTCATGAAAAACTCCATATTCGTGACTCAGTGGGAAATTATGAACTCCTAACCCATACCAGCAGGTGGAAAAAAGTTTCCTTTGTTAAAGCAAACAGTCTGATTACTTTGTGTCAGTGTGGTCCCTCACCTGCCATTTCTTCCTAAGCCTCCTTTAAAGTTCTTGCCTGTGATTTTTGTGCTGTCCCCTCACTTTCAGTTTCCATTATCGCTAAGACAAGCTCCTGCATTTTTCCCTTATCAAAACAATGTGGATGTTTGAATTTTCTTTTTCAACTGTAAATCTTATAACATCTAACCACAGATCAAGTAGTACATCTATCAAAATTTAACTTTCAAATTGAGTGTGCTGTATGTCTAAATAAACAATTTTAAAGCATCAACAACAGTGTAAAATATGTTTTTTTATCAGCATTATGTGGAAGGCATTTTGAAATGACAATATTATGTGTTTATTTACATCAAAATACTTAAATTTTAAAAAA